AGTGTTTTTCAGCGTGCACTGACATCATACAGTACACAAGCCTCTAGTCTGAAGAGAACTATAGTCGTCCCTCAAGTCGCTTATTTTTTAAAATTCTGCTGCTATGTCACAAGTGTGAATATTTTATTGAGAACTTGAGCGGGATAGTTACACTAAAATGGCGTGTACGTATTCGTCGTGAAGTTGCCCCCTCACCCCACCGCGGTGGTCTAGTGGCTAAGGCACTCGGCTGCTGACCCGCAGGTCGCGAGATCGAATCCCGGCTGCGGCGGCTGCATTTCCGGCGGAGGCGGAAATGTTGAAGGCCCGCGTGCTCAGATTTGGGCGCACGTTAAAGAACCCTGCAGGTGGTCGAAATTCCCGGAGCCCTCCACTACGGCGTCTCTTGTAGTCATATGGTGGTTTTTGGGACGTTAAACCCCACAAATCAATCAATCAATCAAAGTTGTCCCCTTCTGACGCTCGTTTCTGATGCTAAGCCACATGTGTTTGGCGATTGCGATGCCAGGAGCTGCGCTTGCGGAGAGGCGGTATTTGAAGGGTCATGAAACACGCAAAAATAAAATGTCGTTTATATGTCGTTATAGGCAATATATGGGCAATAGCGCGCATATATTGCCTAGAATTACGCATAGACCACGCATGTACTTAGAATTACGCATAGACTTGCGCGAGTCCATGTAATGCAAGGGCGATGAAGAGGAAAGAAAAAAAAGGGGGGGGGGGAGGAATTCGTTCCTAAATAGCACAACCGAGGGAAGGACTCCGAGACCCACAAATAAGAACGCGTGTACTTCTCAATGTAGGTTCTGACAACTACACGCGTCTCTTAAAGAATTGCGAACAAACAAGCAAACAAACAAAGTGGCGCCATTGGAAGGACGCGTGGCGCAGAAAAACCACTATGGCCTCGTTCAGAAAAAATGAGACGACAACAAGGCGAACAACAGGGAACGCCGAGTAAAACCACCATCACGACTAGCGTCAGCTAGAAAATTTGTACTCCGGTGCTGTATAAGGAAGTCAAGGATACAAATAGTGAAGAGTATAAAGAGGACAGAACGAAGGAAATGAAAGCCACTTAAGTGCCTGCCTCTTTTTTCGGACAAATGTGACCGAGAAAAGGGAGAGACTGCTTGCTAGGGAGCGCACAAAAGGGGATGCTGTAGGGTGGGGAGTCCGTCAGAGGGCTTGCTGCGCCAGAAACCACCAGCATTGGTTAGACGAAAGGAGGAAAAAAAAAGGGGTAGGCGCACAAAAACTCGAAAAAGACGGGTGAAAGCAAGCCCCGACAAGGAGGAAGGGAAAGGCCTCGGATGCACACACACATCCCATTCGTGGAGACCGTGCCGGCAAGCGAGCTTTCTTGCAGCAGCAAGCGCAGTGCGGAGAAGCCACCAGCGGCGGGCCGCAAGAGGGGAGGGGGTACGTGGCGGAGGGTTATGCGCGTCTCAGGTCTAGCACCCATTAATCTTTGGCGACTTCCGTGCCACAATGGGCCTATGTCATGAGAGAGGAGGGGCTGAGGAAGGAAATAATGGGTGAGGAGAAAAAGCCCTTTTGAAGTTGAGGAGGGAGGGAATGCGGTGTGCATGTTTGAGGAGGACGCGACCGAACTGTGACGTGGGAAAGGGGGAGAGCGCTACTCGGGAACGGCTGGAATGCGACGGCTCATAATAAAGCGGGCACCAGCGCCGGTGAGAGCGCGGGAAGGGCCTGGTAGCGTTACGACACTGCGTCATCTAACTTTCTGACAGTTTGTTATACGAGAAATATAAGGCAAGAGAGAGAGAGAGAGAGAGAGAGAGAGAGAGAGAGAGAGTGAGAGGAGCCGCTACGCGGCAGTCACAGCTTTAACACGTTCGGGTCCTTTATTTCACCACCTCCTTATGAAGAGGGGGCGGGTAGGAGGGGGGGGGAAGCCACATTCCTGGGTCGACTCTTCCCTTTTAATACGCTGGGTTATATAGAGTGCTAGGTTTCTCGCCGGGGTGTGCGAAGAGCGACACCTATTGACATTCCCGGCAGCAGCAAGCAGCTCGGATAACTATGTCGCTTATTAAATTTCTGTCGTCGCTATTCGCACGCTGCCGCTTCGTTATTAAGTCCCCGCGTGGCACACGTGCAATGGGCGCGTCTTTTTTTTTTTTTGCGTGGTAACTTCGCACGCGTCGCGAAAAAGACTGCCGCCACGAAGAAGCTTCCTTTTGTGCCCGGGCCACGGCTTCAGTCCACGTCTCCGGCTGCAGAACTAGCGCGACGTTACGGAGCTTGATAGAAAAGCGTTTCCAATAACGTGAGCCGACTCGCTTATATATATATGACGTTGATGCGCTTTTGAGCGTATTCGCGCAGGTGTCCGATAAATATGATTCCTCGCGTCCGCTCTTGCATCACTTATTATATGTTTTTTTATATGGTTTCCATTGACGTCAGCTCGTGGTTCTGACACAGTTAGGCGTGTGTGTGTGTGATGGCGGATATACCGTGGAGAATCGAGTATCCGGTTGCGTATGGCGTAATTACAGCCTGGCTTGACGGATCTACGACGCTCGTTATGAGCTATGTGGTTCGAGGTTATATAGCTTTTGCACGTGCGCGCCTTCCGGCGTTCACGATGCCGGAATGCGGCGGTGAACCGACGCATCTGTGGCGCCCTGCCGGAGATTGGAGTCTGTCTACTCCGAGGTTAATATTACTCCAATTCGCGATGAAAGAATGCGCCGAGAAGTGCTGCTAAAGCAATCAACCGGACCGCGCCGCAAGTCACTCTGGGAAGTTCGTTATGGATCGGTCAGTGGGCGACAAAGCTTTATTGCGGATAACCTGTTTTCGCATAGCCGCGTCGAATTTCAAAACTTTTGAGATGTTTTGAAAAAGGCGGTTCTAGTTGTTGCATGAGTACACAGTGAGCACGCCGGGTCGCAGTACACGATGACTCCCGACGATTGAGTCGCAAAACGAGATTTATGAACTCAGATGGAATCGATTACACTTGCAACATATTTGAGATTAATTGTAACACTTGAGATTGTGTATCCATGGTGTTAATGTGAAGAGAGGGAAAGAGGTGAGATGGTTAAATTTGTTCGAAACCACAGCGCGTGCAGTCCGTTCTTGTATATAGGAGTACAAACAAAATAAATTGAATGAATCGGTTACCCGTTCGTTTGATTGTTACGACTTAATGAAACGAGCAGACAACGAAGCTATGGGGGACATTATTGGCAGTATTTAACTATAGCGTACGCAGCAAACGATTACGCAACACTACGACAGCGCACATTACACGCTTTGTTCGTCGTTTCTCCTTGTGCTAGTGTTATACTTTACGATATGAAGTTTCAATATGGCCAAACAACGAGTTCACCCTGCACCCTGAGACGTTTTCGTGTATTTCTCCTAAAGTTGGTGGTAAAATTGTCGAATGCGTTCCTGATAACTATTGTGCTCATAGTTTCCAGTTAATCGCGATGTAGACCTATCAAGTAATACACAAAATAACATAGGATTTCAGGGAAAAGGTTACGCAAGTTTCAAGTGTCAAAAGCCCAGCGAGTGGAGGGACTGGAAACATCGATGTTTACTTACACCCCGACAGTTCTGCTAGCCACCCTATAGTTCTACTGCTTCTCGCGATTCCAGATTCGCTTCATTGATGAGGTCATAAAAGCCCGTGGTAATTACACAGAGGACGAACTGTACGCTAACGTTAAGGGCTCATTGGCCCTTGGTACAGAGTGATATGTGCACTTTGCGTGACACTGTATCTTATTACTTGTCATTTTTCTGTGCCCTCCCCCATCGTGATACCAGTTGGCTCAGCGGATAAATAAATGAATAAATGAACTGCAGAGACAGAGCTGAAGCACGCAGCGTAGTGGTAGTCTAGCGGACAATGTCAGAGTAAACGGCGTGTCACCTTCGTGTAGCTCAGGTGTAATGGTAATGATAAAGAGCGTAAACCGCGGCATCATACTTAAAAAAAAATACATCATGTCAGTGTTTACATCATGCATTTATAGTAAAAAAATGAAATAAGGAGAAGGGCTGGTTATTTTTTTTTGTTAGACACAACCTAATAAAACAAACAGTTAACTAAGGTGTAAAGGGCGTTATCTGTAGTCTATTAATTATAGTGCAGAAATTATAATGCAAATGCTAAGAAAAAAATGTGAACGAAAAAACAATTTGCTGCCATGGTAGCGACCGAACGTACAACCCTCGGATAGCGCGTAGTAGCGTTTCACCCGTCCGACCCTTTTAGTAGGACGCATGTAACGCCATGCTGGTGTTCTAGTTTATGTTGTCGGAGTCGGTAGTAAGGGTATAATCCCTGTAGTAGTACTCGAAACAAGGGAATGTGTAACTTGCGGTGTCAGTGCTGCAGCAGCAGCAGTGGTAGTAGTAGTAGTAGTAGTAGTAGTAGTAGTAGTAGTAGTAGTAGTAGTAGTAGTAGTAGTAGTAGTAGTAGTAGTAGTAGTAGTAGTAGTAGCAGCAGCAGCAGCAGCAGGCAACTACACAAATTTCCATCGTAGTGCCAGACGTTAAGGCAACTTCCTACGGATGTTTTAGTCAATAATGTTGGAGTACCTTGTAGGATACCATCTCTGTAGTTGTAGTAGGGAACAAGGGAATGTGCAACTCGCAGCTCGAGTCCTTAATGCACCGCCATTGTTCTAGTTCATATCGACGGTGTCGGTAGAGATGTTTCAGGTTTAAATCACGTTTAGCAGAATGTCTGCGACCGACAGCGCCAGACAGCAACGCAATATAATACAGGTGTTCTAGTTTAAATGGTCGGAGTCGGTAGTAGGAGTGTCACCTGTGTAGTAGCAGGAAAGAACCAGACAAAGAGTAACCCACAGCGTTAGACGGCAAAGCCTGGTGTTCTAGCTTATATTGTCCCAGTCGGTAGTATGAGTATACCGTATACGACAGGAACGATACCAATAATATGCCATATAGCAGTAAAGCGTGAGAATGTGCATCCTCCGCAGCGCCAGACTGGAAGCGAGGCGGCGGCAGCGGCGGGCCCCCGTCGGACGCCTCTTCGTCGGAGGAGCCGAGCGGGAGCAGCGGCAGTCCGGCACCGGCATCGTCGGCCACCGAGGACGGGACACACTGTGACGACAGCGACCGGTCGCCCTCGCCCGACCAGCCGCTGGCGCTGGACACGCGCTCTTCGCAGCGCCGGTCGCCGCTGGACACGCTGGCCAGGCTGTTCCCGACCAGGGTGCGTCGTCTCCTCCCGTTGGCTAAGTTTTGTAACGAAGGAGAGTCGGGCTGAATATGCAGCAAAGAAACGGGAAACGTGGAGCGCATTGTAGTCGAATGTCAGGGTATCCATCCAGTGTCCCAACGTCTTTGAATATAGCTGGGGAGGGGGCAAGCAAGTACTTTGCACAGTATGTCATTTCTTTATTTCCTTGATTCGACCGGAGCAGACGTACAACAGATTAAATGACAAATTAATAATATCATCAAGTCTGATAATGATTTCCAAAGTCGGTCGGGAAACTTGGATAAGCGAATTACTAAAATGTAGTGACAACGTCATGAGAGCCATTCAAGGTGTCCCTTGAACTCGGTGCAGAGGCCTATGGGGTAGAGAGGGGAAGTGTGCTTAAGGCATACTAATCATCATCATCTCATCATCATCATCATCAGTCTACGAAATCAGCTGGCCCATTACAGGGTTGTTTGGATATCATTGGGAGGGAACAATAATTTTGTTGAGCTGCGGAAAGCGGGAAAAGTGGTCAAGGGCCTAACTATGGGGCGAGGGGTGTACAAGTCCAAGTACCTACGTCCCGCAGTAAGGAGCCTAGAAGAGTCTTCTGTGCTTCCTGGTCTGACCTGGCGAGTTGTGCCTCCCATTGCTCCAGGGTTTTAGATGATAACTGTCTTAGTAGGTGTTTAAACTCGGTAGTTCGTTTTGCCATCGCGATGTAATGCATGTGACTTGCTACGAAGGCAGGTGACTTGCTATAAAAAAGGCAGACATGACTTGGTGGGAAAGCTTCGTTCCATTTTGCAGTGAACATGAGGTAAGTCCACCTCATGTAGAGGGTATTATAAGTCACCGCACCCCGTCTCTCCTCCTTTTCGGTGTGCCACTTTGTCCAAACGTTAGCTCCACCCAAAATATTTGTTGACTACTTCACATCGAATAGAGGTCTATGTTGAACATGTTGCGACATGGCGCCCTTTTCGTGCCACAGCCACAGTCGACCCTGGCCGCCGTGCTGGACCGCTGCGGGGGCGACGTCCTCCAGGCGCTCGACCACCTCCTGCTGCAGGAGCCGCCACCGCTGGACTACCGGCGGCATGCACCGCCTCCTCCTCCGGTGACGGCGGCGGCGACTCTGCTCGGAGCCGTGCCCGCGTACCCGGGCCTTTTCCCGCCGCCTCCGCCTCCACCGGCCTCCTCGGCAGCGGTGGCTGCCGAGCACGCCAAGCGACTGGCCACTCTCTGGTCCCCGCAGCAGGCCGACCACCACAAGAGCGCAGCAGACTGAGCACTCCTCCCGCCCTCACTGGGACTCCCAAAAACGAAGACGGCGGCTCCTTCGATTATTCGCCGTCTCCTCCGCAGCACCGTTGCAGTATTGCCACACCACCGTGGCCCTCGCGGCCTGTGCCTCCTTGTTTTTTTGCCCGAGAGAGAGGTAGCTACTTTCTCCCTCGAGCGCCCGCTTTTACGCGATATAAACGGCAGCTTCACTGTGATGCTCGACTTCTACTCTGGTGACGTAGTGACCAGACCTGTGAACGTAGGCGTGTGCAGAGTTCTCCATTGTGAGGAGGGGGGGGGGCAAAATTCATTGCGGTGTTCTCCCTCTCTCGCCCATTCGCTGGTTGAGTTCTAAAGAAAACAGGCTTCTCACTGGTTTCAAAAAAGGTAACTGGAGCGATGGCTTGCTCCACACAAAGGCCTGCCTTTGGTCGTGGGTTTTCCTGGGCTAGAAGTTGGAAGTGCTCGAAATGCAGCGTCTCTGGTCCTCGGCTGGCATTGTCAGAAAACCACGTGCTCCTAATCCTATACGTTAAACGATATCTGCAGAGTAAAAGTATTGGGCAGACTTGACACCCCTCTTAGTCTATTAGGGTGTTAGGCTACCCACCCCCCTGCCCACCACGTCGTGTGCGCGCACCTATCCTTGTTGCACGTACATGGGCCACAGCAGTACTAGTCGCGCATCGCAGTGAAGGCAAGGGTTAATTTACAACGGAACCTATATGAAAGACGCATAAGTGGTGCTTAAGGCCGCTTGGTCTTGGGTCCGGATATACGCACGAACTCGTCCAGTCCCGGCTGCCTCCAAGGCACGACAACAAACGCGCAGCAGGGAACGCCGGGACGACAACGCTATCCACGAAACGTGACTGACTGATAATACTGCACCGACGTGCTCGTGCCTGAGAAGGGCACACGCTGTTTCTGGAGGCGTACATTGTAATAAGCGAGCGTGGGAACCGTTGGCCCTGATTGCGCGCAAGGCGCCCAGCAATGGCTTTTCACAGTCTTCAATAAGACCATCTCAGTATTGTCTGCCGTTTTGCTTTTCTTACCCGAGGTAAGGGGGCTGTGTCGGGACAGTGTGTCGTTCGCGAGACTTGAGCCGGTGTTTCGGCTATGAGCTGCGCAACAATAATATAGCAGTGCTGCCTGACAGACTGTGATATAGATAACTGGTCGTGTAACAGGTGGTGGGACAGGTCGTTGCACTATAGAGCAGCAGTCGCTGCTCTGGAACAGATACTGTGGATGAGGGCTTAGTTCCAGGGAACTTGAAGTAAGATAACGTCAACAGTATTTGTCCGTGTTCATAAGCGTGACGCGCAATTTTATCTCCGTGCATACAACCAACTACGTGGCCTCTCCGAATACATCAGGTGTGCCTCAATTAAGAAACTTCACCTGAGTAATGTGTGGTCTAAGAACTTTCAAAACAGAGTGAGACCCGTGAAAATATAGCTCCAGTTATCAGACGCCAATCAATAAATGATAGAAAGGCTCAACTGTTTTGATGCGGAAATTGAAGTTTCAAAGGTTGTTGAGGCTAAACGTTTGGTGTAGCTTTCTAACCACTGACGTTTGCTCGTGTAACATGCCTCATTCTGTTTACACTAGGCATTTTAACGCTGTCGATGCAGCTGCCAGGATCTTATAAGCCCTTTTAGTACGTATTCTCTCGTTAGTCTATAGCGTATTGGCAGTGATATTACACTTTACGCAACAATTAGCTGTTTATGCCCGTTTCACCAGTACGGTGGTTCGGTTCTTCGCGGTAATGCGCCTCATATTTGGATTGTTGCAATAACAGTTCGAAACTGACTTTCCAGCGTAAGACCAAAACGTGCTTTTATAACGGCAACCAGCGCACAGTATTTCTTCAGTATTATCTATGAACGAAGTAGAGTATAGTGCATATAGCGCTTGAAGAATAAACGCCTTATAGTTGCTCGAATGACAAAGCGCAGTGCAGAGCAAGATCGTTGAATATATGCATGCCACTTACGTTGGATAGAACTGCCTTTGTTGGGTGGAAAGGTCTCTTATAATATGTCTATAGTTCCGGTATCATACACATTTAACTAATATAAAATATTTGTGCCATTTTAAAGTGCAATGGCATTCAGCCTGATGAAGAAGAGATTTGATTAAAATATAAATTCAAATTAAGCATAAACATTTCGAGCTTCGCCTCAGAATCGTGCAGTCAATGACGTCACCTTTTGACGTCACTGAGTTAACAGTATTTCTCGTGACGTGCGAAACGAACGCACGTAAAGCGTATGCCTATAGCTTTCGTAGACGTTCAAGCGCACATTACGTCCAATCTTGTTTGATACAAGTCGAGCTTAGTTTTCTTTCACTGAACACACGATCACCAAGATCTCCGAGGTCACAAGAACGCTTCACGACGTTTGAGACTGCGTCCTGCAAGTCATGTAGACGCCATTCGTAGTGATCTCGGAGGCCAAGGACGCACAGTGTTACAACAAGCGCTGAAAACGGATGTTTAACTGAACTTACGGGAAAAGCGGTTTGCGAGTACACGATATGTTGTCTCACTCACTTGTATAGCCAATAACGTGCGTGGCCTGGTTGTCGTGAATTCGCCCTTTATTAAGGTCGGGACAGCTGTTTAGGCGTGGTTTTGCACTCCCTCGACTGCCTTTGCCTTTTGTTGGTGCTCGAAAAAAAAAAAACACTGTACCTACAACATGCGTGGGCAGGAGATAATAACGACTTTCGGGCCTGATGACGCGAGGCTTGCAATAAACCCTCTTGTTCTCCCCACGTCTTGGCCTTAGTATCGAAGTTCTACGACTAACGTCTTTTAAACGCGAATGTTCCCTGTGCAAACCAAACGTGTGTATAGAACGCGAGACAACGTCCTGCTTGTAAAGAGCTTTAGAAATAACCGAAGGAAGAACACGTCGCTCCTGCTGCCTGTGTCGACGCGTGTGAATAGTGGGGGTGCACCCACCTGCAGGTTGGTCGAGCGTTTGCGCAGAGGTTCAGGGTGCGATTTCACAGCGTTATGGCTGCCAATACAGTATAATTGTTGAGCGGACGTGCGGTTAATACCACCTTTTGCACCACGAGTTCCTCGGTAAATGTTGAGCAGTCTTTTTGTTCGAAACTGGCACACACACACACAGCTATTGCCGTACAACGGGAACGTTCTGCAGGTGTAGCGCCACCTGTAGACACACTTCAGCGTATAACAAAAATAAGCGTGAAATACGAATCCCTGAATCAGGAAACTATTAAGGGATCGGCATGTGCGGCAGTCGAGTTCAGATAGTATCATTAAGATACACCCTTTTGCTTAGCCGCGTTAGCCGTTTGAAAGACTTCACACTTTTCAAATATATGATCTACGAGGAAGACGAGCTTCACCTTGTCGATCATATAGTTGGCGTTGCAGTTGTAACCACAATGAAAAAAATTTACTCGCACTAGCCAAAGCTTCGGTTGAAAGGGAATACTTTTGACATCCATCCATGGTAAACGCACCCGAGCACGTCGGGAAAGTGAAACGACCCTTAGCTTCGAAACTGGTGGGATCGAATTACTACGTTTCCAAGCAGTGCTGCATCGTACTTGCAGGCGACACACTGTTCTGATCTACAGTCTCTGCAGACAACGGCGGATGAAACGCGTGCTACGCGAACGACTCTGCGATGAATCTACCGTGCATGCTTATACTGTATGTGAAAAGAAAAAGAAAATGTTATTATACATACGAACACACGAAAAACACACGCACATCGCATAGACACGAATGAAACACAGTCTGACAAAAAAAATGTGCAAATAAATTTCTCCTTCAACAATACCAGCGACCTCTTGTGATTTATTTGCGTCTTGGATCTCGAGACGAAAAGAACTTCGACGAATTCGTTGCGTGAAAATCAGCACGCGAATTTCAACGAAAGAGATGGTGCTGTCTTTTCACGCGGTAATCTCACGCGGCAAAGTCGTGCTGAAATCTCCCGCGCAAATTTTCGCGCGGAAATCCGCAGCTCCACGCCTTGTTACTAGAGCTGAACTTCCATAACCCGTGGTTGTACAGTGAAAACCTCTGACAGATGTTGGCCCTCGGTTCGATCCCAGAATAAAAACTAATTCTTCAGCTTAGAATATCTTCTCAATGTACCTCTGCGACACAAGCAGTGAGCAACAGATGACATATCATCCAACAAAGTTTTTGTCTGGCTGTACAACACTTTGATGTTGGATTTTGTATGTAGCGTATATCACTCTCCACAAAGCGAATCCACGATTCAACTCCTAACGCAAACTTCGGTTCAAGTCGCTCATAGCGAAGCCTCGATGAAGCTCGAAAAAGTTATCCCGGTCTCTCTGCTTCAAAGTGGCCTATTGTTAACGCTTGCCCGCTTACAAAGCAAGAGCCCTATCCGACGAGATCGTCTTTCAAATTTAAGAGGGGCCAAAGCGATGAAAGGTAGCAGCACGAACCAAACGGAAGCTACCTCGCGTTATGCAAATTCACGACGTGACACGCTTGGATGATTTCACGTGTTGGGCACAGTGTATTCAGTTGCCACGATGTCCTATGGACGGAACAACTATATTCAGTCTTTCCTGTCTACGTTCTGAATGTCGAGAATCTTTTTTTTGTGCATCTCTTTCTCGCATTGCCCTGCCCTTTCTTTCCTTTCACCAACTCACCTGTTACGCCTCGATGATCTTTCTTTCTCGTAGTGCTGCTTCAGTTGCGTTTGTATTTAAGTGTACCAACGGGGTTGCCAGTCGATGAAGGCTGAATGATTGCTATTGTGCTTTGTGCGGGGGAAATACGTACATATATGCATTACTCGCGATCCAGCAGGAGGTCCACTAACGTCGTACTTTTTATCGCGTTTTGGTTTACGTGCCCTGACAGGCAAAAAGTCAACAATAAAACTGAATTGCGGCGTATTGCGAACCGAAAACCCGTGGTCTGATTATAAGTCATGTCGTGTAGTGTGGGATTCCGGA